TAGAATAGAATAGAATAGAATAGAATAGAATAGAATAGAATAGAATATGGAGTGGAGTGGAGTGGAGTGGAGTGGAGTGGAGTGGAGTGGAGTGGAATGGAATGGAATGGAATGGAATGGAATAGAATAGAATAGAATAGAATAGAATAGAATAGAATAGAATATTCTTTATTGGCCAAGTGTGATTGGACACACAATTTTTTTGGTGCATATGCTCTCAAGATAAGTCATAGGTATAACACTTAGTAGTAAATCGTATTAGGAAACATATATATAAGAAACATATAAAACATATAAATCATACTAAATCATATAAATATAATATAAATATAAACAGACAAAGAAGCAAAGTTAAAAGCTGGAATTTCAGTTTCTGCCCACAATGTTGCTAGGCCTTTGCTTCGTCCATAATTTGAAGAGGACGATGGAAGAATTGCTCCAAATATATTATTTGGAAGAACATAGGAGCAATGTCACCAATAAAGTTTTCTAATCATCTCACTGCGTTATTAATCCTGAAAATTCTTAGGGAGACATGTAAGATTTCAATTACAGTAAGATCCCTTCCTATTTCTCAAGAGGGGTATCTCTCACCTGATACCCTTCCTGCTCCTCCTCCTCCTCCGCCTGATTTAGCAGGAAACCTTCGGCCAGGGCCACCGCCTGGCAAGTGGTCTCCGCTCGGCACTCCCGCACCCAGCGCTGCATCTCCCTCGGCAGGACGGCCAGAAACTGCTCCAAGATCACCCGGTCCAACATCTGAGCCTTGGTGTGCTTTTCGGGCTGCAACCACCCCCAGCAAAGACGATGAAGGCGGCTGCAAAGCTCTCGCGGTCCTTCGGCCTCCTGAAAGGGGCTGTTCCTGAAGTACCAATGTTGGATCTCAGAACTGAGGGCTTCCTCCTCTGGGATCTTCTGCCCAGGTCCTACCCAGACCTCCACACCGTTCCCAGGCTGAGCGGCAATGGGGTCTTTCCCCACGCCTTTCCATTCTGGGTGGATTGCATCCATTTTGGCCTCTTCTCTGACAGGGATCCAGAAGGACCCTGTGGATCTCTTGGGTCTCCAAAGGTTGTTGTTGTTTTTTTCAATCTGTTTCCAGTCCTGGGATCCGATGGACTTGAACAGAGAATCCCGGAGGAGATTTTTCAAGCCCTTCAGCGTTTACATCTGAGGTGAAAAAGAAAGGAAACTTCTGGAATTACGGATGGTTCTCATTCAGAAACGGTGATGATTGATTGCTTCCTCAAATTCAGGGTAAATTTTGTCTGGAGGGGAGACAAAATTCAAAGACATTTCAGCCTCAGGGCGACGTCTCTCCCTGTGTCTCATCCCTTCCTCCCCCTTGGAGACCAACCATTTTGGGGGGGGAGGGGGAGGGGAGAAAGGGGTCTTCTGCAGAGGTGCAGCTGAGCTCCACTAACAGTAGGAAAAATAAGGGGGGAGGGGGGAGAGGCCCTTACAGCCTCGCCAGCCATTTGAGGCACAGGATTTGTCCTTTGCAATCCCCCTCCTCAAAAAAAAAAAAAGCTTTAAATGGGACCGTTTGCAGAGGGGAGGGGGAGAGCATCCGGCAAAAGAAAGGCCATTTCCCAGGATCCTTTCTTGGTAGAAATTCTGAAAAAGCAAACCTGGTTTAGGCACAATATGAACACAGCCCCTCCCCCACCGCAACTGTTTCTCCCACCGACACCCCACCCCCCCCAACCCCACCCGGGGTTACATCTCTTGCATGCACAGATGGAGCAGGATGGGGAAGGGCCCTTTTGGGAAATCCGGGATTCCCCTCCCTCTCAACTCTTTGGGGGAGGGGAGAACCGTACTTTATCTTCCTCCCTGACAGCATCCACCCCCTATTGGAACAGGGAGGGGCAATTCCTCACCCTTCGGGTCGCGGAGGGGGGGTCTTCCTCCTTCTCCTCCTCCTCTTCCTCGCCTCGACCTCCTCCCCCCCCCCCCCCCGAAATTCCCACAGGACAACTCACAGCCGCTCCTGCCCAGCGCCAAGCAGACGGGGCGGAGCAGGGCTCAGTAAAGTGACTGAGCGCCCCCTACCGGCTCCTCTGGGCACGACCTGAGCCTTTTGAAGGTTGGGGTGGTGGGTGACTTTGAAAAGGCCCGTCCTGGCCAATCCCTGCGGACAGATGCCCCTCCTCCATCCTTTTTATTTATTTATTTTGTCGAGCAATTATAAGATAACGGGTATAAGTATAAACATAGTTATGGAACCATGAAATGGATACCTATAAGAAAAATATAAAAGAAACAATAGGACAGGGAGGGTAGGCACTTTGGTGCGCTTATGCACGCCCCCTACAGGCCTCTTAGGAAAGGGGTGAGGTCAATAGTAGACAGGCTAAGGGTGGTTGTTTTTTTTTTTTGAGACTGGCATTTCTGTCGGCACCAATTCTTGGTGGGAAGCCTTTGTGGAGAGCAGAGAGTTTGCACAAAAGGGTTGGATGATACTAGGGTATTGTTCGTACCCTAGTAATACTAATTAAAGCTATTAGTCTAAAACTTATCATTTGTCTGAAATGGTATATAGGGTTTCCTGCCTGAGCGGGAGGTTGTACTAGATCGGGGTCCCCAAACTTGGCAACTGGAGAATTCTGGGAGTTGAAGTCCACAAGTCTGAAAGTTGCCAAGTTTGGGGAGCCCTGTACTAGATTGTCAATCTAGAAGACCTCCAAGATCCCCTCCAACTCTGTACTCTACTCTACTCCTACTCTACTCTGATGCTCTGTTCTTCCCAGGAGGCAGGATCTTCAGAAGCCATCTAGTACAACCTCCATCAGGAGGCTCCTCCCCTTCACCTTTTCTCACCCCTGCTACAAAGAGGCATTTCGGAGAGGGATACGGCTGGCCCAGCCTCTCCCCTTCCATGGATCCAATCCACCCACCCCTCCACCTGTGAAGTTGGAGAAGGGAGCACAGTAACGGAAGCAGTAGTGGGATTCAAAAATTGTTTACTACCAGTTCTGTGGGTGTGGTTTGGTAGGGGAAGGATATTGCAAAATCTCCATTCCCTCCCCGCTCCTGGGGGAAGGTTACTGCAAAATCCCATTCCCTCCCCACCCCCCTAACCTGCTTTCCAATTCCGTTCTCCGGTCACATCCCGGACATAAATTGTTTAACTCCTTCCCTCAAAACGAGGGCACTGCACACCAGAACAACAAGACACAAGAACAGTTTTTCCCCAAACACCCTCACTCTGCTAAACCAATAATTCCCTCAACACTGTCCAACGATTTACAAAGACTGCACTACTATTACTGTTAATCTTCTCATCACTCCTTATCACCCATCTCCTCCCACTTGTGACTGTATGATTGTAACTTTGTCGCTTGTATCCTTATGATTTCTATGGACTGTTTCCTAGGATGATTTTATTGCTTATTGTACCCTGTGACTATCATTAAGTGTTGTACCTGATGATTCTTGACGAATGTATCTTTTATGTATACTGAGAGTATTTTCACCAAGACAAATTCCTTCTGTGTCCAACCCCACTTGGCCAATAAAGAATTCTATTCTATTCTATTCTATTCTGTTCTATTCTATTCTATTCTATTCTGTTCTGTTCTGTTCTGTTCTGTTCTGTTCTGTTCTGTTCTGTTCTGTTCTATTCTTATTCTTATTCTGTTCAGGGCAACAAAAGAAGACCCAGCTGATCAGCTGGGACTCGGGAGGCAGAGAATAGATGGGGGCGGGGCCAGTCAGAGGTGGTATTTGCCGGTTCTCTGAATTACTCAAAATTTCCGCTACCAGTTCTCCAGAACTGGTTAGAACCTGCTGAACACCACCTCCGGTTGGAAGGGTCCTTGGAGGTCTTCTAGTGAATTAACCCCCTACTCAAGTTATACCATCCAAATGGTTCACCAATCTCAAAAACCTTCAGCATTGGAGCACCCACAACTTCTGTAGAGAAACACTGATTATTTATACTAACCATCAGGAAGCCTCTTTAATTCTAAATTGGACCTCTCCTTGAATAATCTTCCATCCTGTACTTCTTATTCTAGGATGTAAGATGGTTCAAGCCCAGTAATAGGAGAACCTTCTCTGAGGGATAGAGACTCACCTTGGAGGAAAAATCACAATGGGGCAGATATGACCCCAAAGTCCTCTATTCTTTCTGTCCGTTACTCTCAATTGGGCCTCCTTCTCGGCCCCTCACAATGTGAGCCTCTTCCCTGTGGTTCCCTCTTCTCCCCCAGGGTCCCTCCTCTTCCTCCCACAGTATCTTCCCATCTTTAAAAGGTGAGTGTGGGCCCCCAAAGACCTTTCAAAATACTATTTTTTTCTTTTTATGGAGAAAATGAAGTGGTTGAATCGCCGGCTAGCTGGAAGAGAAGAAATACATCTAATTAATGTGTGTGAGGAAAATCAGATTTCACATGACTGGAACAATTTGAGAGGAATTGAGATATAAAGAGCATAGCCCTGCAACATCTATTTGGCCATTGCGACTTTTTATCCTTGAATTTATCATTTAACATTCGCGCTGCAACTTTTTCATCTGAAGGTGTAAATGTTTCTTTCTTCATTATGACTATTGTACCCTGTGAACAGGCTGGGAAGTAACCTTAGATGGAGTGACCATACCTCACGTTCACTGTTCTCTCCAGTGTGTGTGTTTCGGTATATGAAATGGGTAGGACACATTATAAAAATGGAGCAACGTGACATACCATGTCAGCTGCTCTATATGTATTGGAGTCTGGGAAGAGACATTAACAATGCAAGCTCTACAAAGACCCTGTGAAAAAAATCCCATACCACTGTGACATCCAACCAAGGGAATGAAATGCTGCCTGTTTGGTGGAATTTGTGTGATCTTTTCAAATAGAATAGAGTAACAGAGGTGGAAGTGACCTTGGAGGTCTTCAAGTCTAACTCCCTGCTCAGGCAGGCTATCCTATATCTGTGATGGCGAACCTATGACATGTGTGCCGGAAGTGGCACACAGAGCCATTTCTGCCGGCATGCGAGAGGTTGTCTGGAAGAGCCCCACTGCGCATGCGGTCTCGCACATGCATGGAGGACAGGTGAGTGTGTGTGTCATACGTGCATTGCATCATGGGTGCAGGCATGCGAGTGCACGCACATGTGAGCACACACTTTTGGCACACGACGTGGAAAAGGTTAGCCATCACTGTCCTATATCATTTCAGACAAATGGTTGTTCAATCTCTTCTTTAAAACTTCCAGTGTTGGAGCATTCACAACTTCTGGAGGCAAGTTGTTCCACTGATTAATTGTTCTAAATATCAGGTGATTTCTCCTCAGTTCTAGGTTGTGTCTCTCCTTGATTAGTTTCCACCCATTGCTTCTTATCCTGCGCTCAGGTGCTTTGGGGAATAGTTTGACTCCCTCTTCTTTGTGGCAGTCCCTGAGATATTGGAACACAGCTATCAAGTCTCCCCTAGTCCTTCTTTTCATGAAACTAGACATACCAAACTCCAGCAGCCTTTGTTTATATATTTTAGCCCTCAGTACCCTAGTCATCTTTGTTGCTCTTCTTTGCACTCTTTCGAGAATAGGGCTATCAAATTTCTGGCCTGTAGCCCAGATATATCAGGTGCTGGTCACGCACATGCCCATTTTAGCGAAGGGGAAAAACGTTCCAATACGTCACTTGACTCCGTGAGTTTGACACCCCTGTTCTAGAGTTTCAAGATCGTTTTTTACATCGTGGTGACCAAAACTGGATGCCGTATTCCAAGTGTGGCCTTATAAAGCGGTATTAACACTTCACGAGATTTTGATCCTATCCCTTTGTTTATGCAGCCTCGGCTGGCTTCTTTGGCAGCTGCAGCAGAAATAGATCCAATTCCATCTTTCAATCAAAGATAAGAAATATATTTAATAAGCAGGAGATTCTGAAAGTTTTGTTACGGCTACATAGAGAAAAAAAATGTGCAAAGTCACAATCATTCCAATAACGGTGGCTTTTCCAAATTTGCAACGCCACGATTCCCTAAAATGTCCACAGGATCAAGCTTTCTGATCACTTTGATATCAGTTTGGATCTGTTTATGAGAAGCAAGGGAACCGCTTGTCTTGAAGTGTTTTCCACAACCCATGCACTTATAAGGATTTTCCCACTCGTGTTTCTTCATTCCCCACTTATTTGTAGATGTCTCCTCAG